TCTATCTATCTATCTATCTATCTATCTATCTATCTATCTATCTATCTATCTATCTATCTATCTATCTATCTATCTATCTATCTATCTATCTATCTATCTGTGTGTGTGTCAAATACATTTTCACTGGAACTCTCACTTGATGCAAGTGTGGCAAGCTATCATTAAACTGAAAAAACAAAATAAACCTATCAGTGAGATCCCATAACTGAAAGGGTTATGTTCATCTCAACATAACCCTTTCAGTGGGAGAACTGTGCAAGTGACTTCTTCAGTCTCAGCTGAGTTCAGGTTTCGCCTGCCTTATAAATAGTACCGAAACTAGAATCAGGTGTAAATAAACTTCAGGACAGTTGTGCCGTCCACTTAGGTGGAGTTTGTTTGTTTTCCCCCATGTATAATTCACAACAATCCTCCTGGTACTTAAACCTGTACACTATTACTCTGTTTTTACCGGAGACCCAGTTCTTAAGGTGGACCAATTTTGGTGTAGTGTGTTTAGGCAGACAGAGAAAATACGTCTCAGATGTTCTGTTACTCCTGACACATAAGGAATCACAAAAGACTGCTTAGGAGGCGATTGTCCTTCTCTCCTGGATTGCTTGAAGCATTCTTAAGGTGTCTTCCCAGCTTTGACAAATCTCCAGCTTGGATAACTACATTTACTCAGGGCCTTTTTGAGATGTTGTTGTTCTGCTTCCTTGGCAGCTGTGTCTGTTTGGATGGTGTTCACTATCTGTTGTGGCATCCTTATGACACGTAGTGTGTTCTCCAGTGGATAAGTGAGAACAATCTTAAATATTGATTGTCTACTAATCGGAAGGTTAGTGGTTTGATTCCAGGCTGCTCCAATCTGATCCTTGGGCAAGATACTAACCCCAACTTATCCTCTGCTGTCTGCATGCACTGGAGTATAAATGTGTGTGAATGTTAGATAGAAAGAACTTCAGCATAGAAGAAGTGCTTGTATGAATGGGTGAATGAGCCAAGTTGTACTTCTACTCTGAGTACTCAGGCAGAGTAGAAAAGTGCTACTAGGATCTGGATACACTGGTTTAAAAAAAGTCAGTGTCTACTGTACACTTTCAAATGTTTCCCATTAATGATGGAATTTTCACAGTCTAACTCCTTTCATATCCTCTCTGGTGTTTGTCTATTAAGTTAATGTGATTATTGAATTGTGGCACGTCCTGATTTTCTCCCAGGTGTCATTCACATACCTGAACCAAAGGGTTTAGGAAAGGACTGCCTAAAGTTGGTACATGAGTATGAACAAACATAAGATGGCAGACTACAGGAACCACCTGAGATGCAGCTACAGATGCAGAGAGTCAGCTGCTAAACGAACTGGTAAGGCATTTTTACAATGTCACAACTCAGGGACAATATCAACTCTGTTTCACAACTTCAGGAATGGAAATACAGAGGGTTTATAACAATTTAAACCACTGGTTTGCCAGAGTAGGCATAAGACTTTTCTGTCTGGAAACAAGAAGACTCTTTTAGATGTTTTCTGGCAAATGATTTACTTGTACCAGAATGGTGGGAAGAAAGAACATCTAACTTTCTGTCTGTCTGTCTTTAATGCAATAATGCACAACTTTGTGATTAATATTAACTATAGCAGATATATTTGCAGGCAATCCTCACAGGCAGAGAGCTAGTCCTGTCCTCTCCAGAGTTTCTATTTCTATGTCAATATTGTTGCCAGGAGATTAGAGCAGGTCCCAGCTGGGAATCTGTCTGAGGAACACAGCAACATGCAGAGTAGGAATGCATCTTTCATCTGCAGGGAGCTTTAAACTTACTGCACTACATGGCTCTCCACTTGTCTTGTTCACCAGTTACAATATACATTTACCACCCTTTTACGCATTTATTAAGCAACTCCCTTTTACATATAAATACATCAAAAAGATAATGCAAAAATATTTAAATACTTAATTCTCTCATACATTTCATAACTATTTAAAACACAAAGAGGAAAATAAATATATGGTGTGGGTTGTCAGTTACTGACAAATTGAGGTAATAAGTGGAGTGGTGAATCGACTGCTGATCATTTTGTAGTTTGTCTTCGGCTGCTGGGGAAACATCAGTCTGATTAAATGAAGCCAAGCATTTACATGAGAGCCATGTGCTTGTTTCCTTGTATTTTCCTTGTAATTTCAGTCTGTAAGCTGTCACTGGATCAGCTTGTGATCACGTGAGCCATTGGAAAAAGCAGAACTGAGGCAAAACATAAGTATCAGTCACATTTCTGTGTGTTCAGTACAGATCTGGAGTCAGCATGTAGTTAACCTAGCTTAGTATAAAGACTAAGAGCAGTTCCAAACGAGTATGCTGGCTCTATCCTGTCTAGCAAATAAGTAGCTAAGTAGTAGTGTTCTATATCGTTTGTTTAGTCAGAGATGTTATAAATTATAGATGAACCACCTAAAAATCCCTAACCACAAATCTATGGAAAGTTCTATATTGCCAAAATGGTAGATCTATGCCATATACAACTGTATCCCCAAAAGCCAGTTGCCTGCTTCATAAGAACTAAATCAAGGCGTGGAATGGTAGAAGCAACGTAGAAGTAAACATGATAAAATGATTTACATATGAAAGTGTCTCTTTTCACATTTTTCTGGTGTTAAAAAATGTGAATACTTGGTTCTTGAATATTTTGAAAAAGAAAAATATTAATATTAAGTATTAGAATCTTATATGCATCCATCAATTAGTCCAACAGCAAAATTAGAGTCAGAGTTCATGAAGTAAATTGAAAGAATTCAATAGGTAGGCACCAAAGCTTAGTGTCACTGCTCCGAGTGCAATACTGCCACAATGTCTCTTACTCATTTTATGCTATGATGTTGAATAATCAGTGATTTATGGTCATAATTCTGTTTGCGTTTTTTTCTGTTTTCTAAGTTGGTAACTTAGACTTGAGAATGAATTCAATGTTAGAATTTATGGTCAGTTGTCAAAGTTAATGTTTCTGTCAAAAAGAGAATTCCTCTAGACATTTAGGAGACGAAATATAAGGCCCACAGCTGAAGTCAGTTTTGTACTTATATATATTGTATGTATTTATATGCAAAATATTTTAAATAACTTAATTTAGGTGATTATGATGTTACAGATATGTTTTTTCTCCATTTCTCCACACTGTTATTCATAGGGCATTGTGTTCACTTAAAAACAAATTTGTAAGAACTACAGACACAGACTGGCAGATGCAGTTTGCCTGTGAACCACCAAACTTTCAAAACAGACACTACCTTGAATATTTTATACATAGCAGCTGTGGTATCATGTTTGTAAAAACACTATCTCTGTAAAGGTCATTAATGTACTTTGTAAATACTGCTGTTTAATGCAGTATGCAGTCTGTATGAGTTCAGTTTTTCTGACCTCATAGAGATGTCTGTTATTTATACTACAGCCTCGTTTTTGTACGATGATGTATGATGAACACTTTGTGTAACTGCTTTACTTACTTTAACTAATGGAAGTTATTTACTCTAAGTAACAGAAATTTTGCCTGATAGTGCCCCGAAAGTCTTTTTCGTATCTTTGTTAATGTAAAAGGAAGTAGACTAGTTAGTGGAAATAAGTGCTTATTGCCAGCTCAGTGGGGTGCACCTAGGTTTATATAACAATCAAGCTGCAGCTGTTCACTTCTTGTATTTGAACAAGCAAGTCTAAATACAAATATGAGATGAGTGATCATCTACATCACTGTAGCAATCATTAGTCTACTACATCTATTACAATTATCAGAGCCCACAAATTTCACTGATGTTACCTGACCAATCCTGTTTTTTATTACAAAGTCAACAAGTTAGATTAAAATAAGGGCACTTCAAAGGTTCCGCAGGACTGATGAGGTTGATCAGCTGATAACTAATTGCTCACTATCCATGTAGCAGTGTTTCAAGTCTGTCAGCATCACACGCATAAGGTTTTACTTACCTATTACTGTAGTCAGGGCTACACCTGGGCCCTATGACCTTTTCACCTTAGAGCTGATCTGAGGTCTGACAAGTGGGAAAAGTGGCTGAAGCAAATAGAGAGACTGTGCTGTTAGATCCTTGGAAGATGAGGTTTACTATCCAAGAAATCCTTAGCAGAAAGTGTCACTCCAGAGAAGTTTTTCAGTGTGGGAGTGGGACTGAGCACAGCTCCTCTGATCTGCAGCTTCCAGCTCTGGGGTGAGGATGATTCAGTTGGTCACATTACTCTGCATGGAGCCTATTAGTGTTCCCGGAAGACAGAAGATGGGGGAAGGGGGAAAGAACAACACCTTGTCACAGTTCATTCAAAGAACTGCTTAGTGCTAGCTGATGTTCTGCAGCTGTGAAAAATTGAGTTTTCTGCTGGGGGGCATATAGGTATATGCATATATGTCCCAGTATCTGTAATATCTGTTTGTGAATATACGTTTTGCTTATATATCTATTAATTTTATGGTAACTTAATTATGTATAAATATGTTTTGAATTTATTTTCTATATCTCAACTCTTAATGGAGGAATTAGCACTATTCTTCCCTCATTTGGTGTTTTGATGATGGTGGTGCAGAGTACTCTGTAATAAAAAAAAACAAAACAAAACCATACAGTAGATGCTCAAATAAATTATATCTGTTGACTACAAAGTGGCTGCCCTTCTGATAATGTGATCCTGGAAGTAAATGTTTAGGTTTGGGCCTTCCGTAATTAAATTTACTGCAATCTTCTGCAAAGACAAAAACGTAAAGAAAATTCTGTATGAAGCCTTGTAATCAAAGCTTTTCTACTTTTTTTTTTTTTTTTAAGTATGGAGTGACAGCTCGTTGGTTCAGTGAAAGCACTGCTACCTCAGAGGAAGAGTTCGAATCCACAAACTGGCCAGGACCTTTCTGTGTGGAGTTTGCATGTTCTCCCTGTGGTTGTGTCTCTTTCCGTACATGCAGTTAGTGACTCTAAATTGCCCACAGGTGTGAATGTGAGTGTGTGAATAGTTGTCTGTCTCCCTGTGGCTGTATCCCAATTCAGGGTCTGCAGCCTTAAAGGCCGCATTTTAAGGGCGATTAC